CTAGAACTAGTACAAAATACTTGCTGATACACGTTTTGAAGTATTGCAGTTGCTTTCTAGGAAAATCTGTTGTGTTATGGCTGTTTTAGCTACTCCTTCATTGTGTCCACCTGAAGAGCAGCAAAGTGGATTCATGCAACCTGCCTGCCTTCTCATTTCAGCATATCCCATCTTGGCATTCATCCTAATGACAGTATTCTTAAAAACTTTGTTAGTTTCTATTTCTGTAGAAGTGTAAATCACTATGTTTTAACATGAATCTTAATTAAGGTATTGGAGGATTAGGAAACTTCTAAAATGCAGTGCATAATTTGAACCAGTTCAAGGCAATTTATATACCAAGTGCCGCTCTGAAATTATAAGCATGATTTTAATAAAATGACCACTCTAATGTATGAAATTCAGAGTGGGAACATAAACATATTCATTAGCCTTGAGAGACATGCATTTTCTTACTTTTTTGGGGTTTTAATTAGTAACATAAATTTTCATAGAAAACTTGCAATGGAAGATTAGAGTAAGAATACTGGAAATATAAATTACCTGCTACTGTAAAACCATGAAAATGTAAATGTGAATTTAAAAATAAAAAAGGCTTAGTAATTTAACAAATGAGTAACATTTCTATCATTACCTGTCATGCAACAGCATGCTGGATCAAGGCTAGTTAAAGGTGGGGACAAAACAATGTTAGAAAATAATTTAGAAAATAATCAAAGCCAAAAAATAAAATTTAAAAAAATTTTCAAAAAGTGAAATGAGGCCTGTTCAACAGAAGATCAGAAGCTATACCAGATTGAGAAAGAAAATGTCTATACAGAAATTAACTGAGGTATTCCCAAATTTCTATTTCTATTTCTTCAATAGCGTCACTACTAATTAATAAAGACATTAGATTTCCAGAAATCAGTCCCAAATGACCCACTATTTCCATTTCAGTGAGCCAGAATCTCCTCTGGGAAGTCCTTCTCCAAGGAACCACGCTCACAAGATTTCCATGCTATCATTTCATAAAATATGATACTTCACTGTCTACTGGTAAATATTCTAATCTGTAGGTAATTCATAATAGCACAAATCATGAAAATGTATTTGTTCTTCTATCTTATTTGGAGGCAAGGGAAGTACCTTAGATGTGGTTCTCTATCTCTTCAGCAGTCCCGAGTGAACATACTATACCTTTGCTGCAACGACCACAGTCAGCTCTCCCCTTGCAATCCACGCAAACATAATTCTGTTCACGTTTCACTGTCTCCTCCAAGATTACAGCTCAATTTTCTTTTCCATCTGTAAATACCAATTGCTGCATAAATCCTGTTTAAAATTGGCTTAAAATAATTTTATTGTCAATTTACAATTTCAGACTGAAAGAAAAGTAAACACATAGATGACTAAACAACCACAATTTTCACTAGAATGCACTTAAAAGTAGACTGAAAAAGCAAAGATACAGTTTTGAAAGAAGAGGGAAAAATGAAAATGAAAATGAAAAAGAGCATGTAAAAGGTTTTCCTTTTATTTATGTTTCCTTTTTCTTTAATCCAACTCCATTACAAAGATTCAAAATCCTAGCAGAAGAGATTTTGTCTTCTGATAAGTTAAAGATGAAACAATCTGTTGTAGATATCCATTTCTTCATTTGTACCATGGTAATAGGTCATAATCTCAAATATCATCACACTGCAACTAGGCCAGGCTATAGATGAACCTAAAACAGCTGCTACCATTCTCTCTGTGCCACCAATTAGCTCAGATCAAATCAAACTCACAAATATTCTAGTTCTGGTTTGTGGGTAAACTTGCATTTTGGGATACCATAATTAGGATTCTTTTTGGACAAGCTGACTAAAAAAAGCCTTATGCTACGTTGTAGCAGTGTGCTGTAATACAGTCAGCTTTTCTCTTTAATTTCATGTCTAAATATATACCTTAAAATAAGGTCATCTCATTGATATTTCTCATTTCTGTTTTTCCTCACAGAGTTGGGCTATGTGTCTTCAAGATGTGTTATTCTGCAGAGAAACTAGCATCTTCTTTTTGTAGTATATCAACACTAAAAGAAAAAAAAACCTCCAACTTACTTTCTAACTAAATGAAACGTGCCTTTTATTCAATAGAAAGTATTATTACATCTATTGACGGTCATGCCAGATAAAAAAATAATGCTCTCAGATAAGAGTTTTCATCTACCAGTGTATCAGTTGGGCAAAAGATACTTTCACAAAACATCAGATATACTGAATTTTATACACCAACTCTTCAGACATCAGCCCTCTTTGTGGTATCAGTGAAGTTATAGATGAAGATTCATTTTACTCACTTTAGTGTGGGTAAAGAGTACTAACCATACTGACAATCCTACCCACAAGTGAAAGCAGGATTAATTGTCACTTGATCTATGTTATAGTCAAGTTATGTTTCAAGAGTTCTCAATATATATTCTTAGATTACTGCAGAGACGCAACCAGGACTCAACCAGGCACCCTATTTACTCCCCATTACTGAACAGAAACTACTTTGCACATCTTAATAACATTGACTAGATTTTAGCTTCTTTTCTGCCTTATTTATGTTCTCAAATAATGAATGCCCCCTGATAAGCATGCAGATGTAGATCAGCTTCTCAATATAGACAGCAAGGAAGGCAGGGTGGCTCCACAGCAAAAAAAATAAAACAAATCTGTACTGAAAAGATCCAACATTGCATTTCATGTCTTTTTAGTGCCAAATGTAATAGGAACTACTAATCTATAATTAATATGGAAAATATTAATCTAACTAGTAATGCAGCTGCAACATACTCTGATGGGAGGAAGGGGCACAATCAACCTGAAAATGTGTTTATATACATTTTGATGAAAAATAAGCCTGTATTCCCCAAAGACAGTCCAACACTGGAATTTTGTAGGACTATAGTCTGCTAATTAAGTTTTCCTATTCCTGAAGCAGTATCAGAGGCAAGCCTAAAAAATATTGCCTTGAAAGTTTGATACACATTTGAGCTGTCATTATTGAAGTTATGCTACACTTCAGAGCCCTTCATTTTGATTAGTGACTTTCAAAAAAAAAAATCAGGTTAAACGCTACTCACATCTGACTCTTTTTTTATCTACAACTTACACCTTTTTCTAAATGTCTCTGCTTAATCTAATAAACTTTTTAAATGGGTATTTTATTTGAAAGATAATTAATTAGCAAAGCTGGGTACTCCAAAAATACACAAAAAGACTGCTTTATAAATAATAAAAAGATTCTCAGCTGGTTGAAGGGACTGGGAATACCAAATTAAGGCAAAATGAATATGGCTTGATAAAAAGCTGCACAGCACTGCCTGCAACCCAAGAAATCAGTGTATGTTATTGACACCTTAAATAACAAGGATGGAAACAAAAGCCTGTTTTGGATTTGCAGGGTAAAATGCACGTATTACCAATGTGCCTCTCTGAAAGTGTGATTTATTTTTCTTTACTGCTTTTATTTGATTGTACTCATTATGTTAATCAGGATTTGCATTTAAAAACATTTCTTTCTCTGTATCCTCAGATCTAGATTATTACACATAAATTTAGTGCTCATCTGCTAAGTACTAGAGACAAGCTTCTTGTCACCTAAAGTGAGGAAGCAATTACCTGTATTCCATAAGGTGAAATTTACTGTGCAACTTCTAACATGGCATTTTAAAACAACAGAGGGATATGGTTTAATAGGCAATTCACTTCTGTTTATATTAAGCAAAAAAAATATCCAAATTTCTTTTGGTTCATTGCATGTATTTTCCCCTGTAGTGTGTATTAAAGAGGACCTATAAAAAATTTCTATGCCAATGCACACAGAATTTTTACTACAGGATAGCAACATCTTTTGAACCCAAACGCATACTTAAAATGTAGGAATACAGTAATATCCTTTAAATATTTTAAATCACAGTGAATAAGAAATACTCCCTTTACCATGTTTAAAATAACAAAAGTAAATCTGTAAAAATTAGAAACAACACCTGACAGGAAAGGTAAAGAGTGCTGAAAACATATTCATTTTGACCTCACACAGTAATTGATGCATACTGGCATATATCTGGAGCTTGATACCCCATGACTGAATCAGCAGCAATGACACCTGCTCTTGCGTTAGTTTTTCTTGCCTCCTGATCATTTGCCAAATTCTGTGTGAGTCCTCATCTATCTACGAACAATTACATATTCCCAAGACTAAGTGTTCTTTGGCTTTCTTTATGGATCCCTATTCAATTTAAGTTTTACCTGCTGTTTCTTTGCCTTTCAACTTAACATTAGGGAAAATACATGTGGTTTATCAAAATATTTAGGTACAGCTTTGGTTTCAGGAAATTAAAATTTATTTAAGGAATTCCAAGTATTACCTGAACACTACTACCTATTCTACTGTCACAGAACTTGGAAAGTCTAGTCAGAGTACAAGGCTTGGCTGTAGCAGATGCAAGACAAACACAGGCTCAAATAGTTTCTCTGTTCAAGCATACACCATGACTTAAGAAAGAACCCCAGGGAAGTGAGCTCCCAAATAAGCACTTATATGCTTTTATTCAGATACCATATCCATAATCCACAAACCTGTGCCTTTTGAAGAACAAACAGATTCTGTATTTTCCATTAGTCGCTCTACTTGACAGATATTTTGTACCTATTTTCATCTGGCATTCTTACTTGCTATTCTGAATTGATCTAGAGTGAAATACATTGCAGTAGGCTTTGATGAAAACCAAGGTTATATGGCATTCAAAATTATCTTCCATCATGCTCTGGGCCAAATTTCATCTGAAGCAGGCAACACTCCAGCAACTCCACTTCATTTGTCACTCATCAGAATAGAGGATAAAATTTGACCTTCAGAGGTCACTTCCAAGCACATTAACAGTCCATAGTTTCATTACAAATACTAAAAGAAATTACAATTTACCATGGAATCCAATGCAGACAGAAGTGCTTACAGATTTCTTAGCAAATTCTGCTTTCTTTTTGCAGGCATGGGAAATCTATTCCATGGATAGAAGTCTCTCCAAAGTGCAACAAAAAACTTCAAACAAATCAACCAACCTAAACTAAAGACCTATACATAAAATATTCCAAGGTCTCCTATAACTACTATGATATCTGATGAATGTTATGAATGGTTATATATGAACATTTGGTATGACAAGCCCCTGTCTTGGAGAACAGCACTTTACACAGATCAAGGTAGCAAGACAATTCCCTTCATTTTGTGACAAACATGCTATTTGGACTTCATACACTCCCCTAAAGGAAATAAGAAACTTTCTTACCTTACCTGCCACCCCAATGATTCTATACCATTCTACTAACAGAATTTGTCCTCATGGATAAGAGTGTGGGTTAAACAAGCCCCTGTCCTTCCACCTACACTGCCAGCAAATTGCAGCAGAAGTTAGAATGGCAACATAGTTAAATGTTACTAGAAATTTGTTTACTGGTCAAATTAAAAACATTAAAAAAAAACAAACTGAAAAAAACCCCAAAACAAACACCGTCATCATAGCTACCTTTTCTTTGTCTAAATCCCAGACTGAAATCTGTGCTGCTTCCTTATTCTATTTGAAAATATTTGAACTAAATGGCATAAACAATCCCGAGATGACTGGAATGTAAAATCATCCTTTTCTTGTACCTTGACTATCATGGAACTTAAAATCACCCTTTTCTTGTATCCTATCAGGCCCAAAATCCCGTGGATCCTGAAGAGGTAATCTAGCTGAAAATGCCACATTTTTATGTATTTACTATTAGAATTCCCCATCTGCAGCTTTCTTGGAACCCAATCTGCGTGCTGCGGAGGTAGAATGGTGAGGACTACCTGAATGTAGTTGGGGCATGGGACTAGATGCTGCAAACTATTTTTCTGGTCTGTGTAACTTCAGTTTAATAGATAAAAGAAGCTGCTTCTAAAAGTGGTCTCAGTTACACTACAATTCATACTCATTTTGTCTAAAACTAAATAATGCTTGATTCATAATCTTTCATAAATACTTGTTTGACAGACCAGTTGTATACTAAGATCACATTTTCCATAAAGGATGAAATTGCAGCTACGCAAAAATGCTGACCATGTGGGAAAGGAGGGCCTTCAAAGGTTGGCTGCTCCATAGTAATCACATATACCCCTAAGAAGTCTTATTACAAATTAGCTAGACTCAGTTTTTCTTTCATACAGGCATTCATGCTAGTACGGATTTAAACTGGTCATTTAGCCACAGCTGAACTCACATTACAGAATTGTGTCAAACAAAAAATGTAACTTGACAGAGCTTTGACAATGCTTTGAATTGTATTTAGCAGTTTACATTATGGAATAGCATCAATGAAGAACTTGGCTTTCACCTACTGACATATTCTTCAACATAAAACTGAAAAAAATGCCTGTGATGTTAAAAATTGACACCGATGATGCTGGGGACTTCCAGAAACATGGCAAGACAGACAAGATAAATTTGAGGCCTGGAGGTGCTATTACTTCATGAAAATGATGCTCTGTCTCTCTGCAACTGAAAACAACACAAAGAGGAATAAAAGTAGAAGCAGAAAAAGTGAAGAAACTATGTCTGTCACCCCTAAAGCACATCTACAACCAGCCTATGATACACAAGTTGGAAAAGCATGTGTCAGTTGCTTTACTTTTAGATCTCGTATCAATGAAAATAGACTGCAGACAGAAAAGCATTATAAGTGGGAAGATATGAGAGAAGGCCTAGTGGAATAGCTAACATGTTACAAAAAAAAACCCAAACCAAACGAAACAGACAAAACAGAACAGATCCCAAACCACCCAAGGAGCAGCTGCTCTTAGGACTTTGATTCATATAGAGGGCATTTATTACACCTGAGAGAGCAGTTGATAATTTACTTGTCTTTCTTTTATTCCCAGAATTTCTGCAATGACACCTGAAATTTCTTCAGGCCATCTGCCCTCTCTTTGCCTGGTGTAGTCCTACAGAACAGCCATAGTGGGTCAATAAATTTAACTTGTCCTTGGCATGGACGTATTACTATGTTGGGAAAATGTGCTATTGGAAGACACATTCAGAGTATTACAAGGTACCACAGGTCAGTCAGCCCTATCATGCTTCCAATATGTGCAAGAGCACAGTGTAATGGACACAAACCCCTTCATTAAATGACAGAATCTTTTAATAAGCACATAGGATGTCTACGTCTCATGCTTGTTAGGTCTCAAAACACTTGTATTATAGGCATATGCTTAACAATGAAATGCTTTTATTTATTTGTTTTTTAAAGAAAAATGATGTTTTGCTCCTGCTAAGAAGCATATTCCCAACTGATAGAAAATATTAAAGTGATACCCCACCCATCTTAAACATTGTACCTTGCTAGCCTGCTGGAAGAGCTCTTGCTCTGTCCTGGATCTGTTTTTTAAAACACTCCTTGAGAGTTAAGAACTTTATCCTGTGACATACAAAATCAAAACAAGGCTCAAGCACTTAATTTTAGGAGATCTATGGCTAAAGACGGATGTGATTCCTTCCTATGTTAAAGCAAGGTCCAAACCTTCCAAGAAATAGTCCTGAGCTCAGACCACAACTGACCTTGAAAAAGGGCATTCCTAACCTCTCTTCAGGAATCTAAAAATCACACACATATACATACATGGGGACAAAATTGACAGCTTTAGCAGCAGGAAACACTTTCACCTTTATCAGCAGAATAAAGTGGAGAAGGAAAGGGAATTGTAGAGATCCCAAAAGACTGCTACCTACTCTTTTCACTTATGGTGTGTAATCTTCAAAATTAGAGTGAAGAGCACACTCTTTGACCTGAAAAGCTTAAAGCATACTTATAAAGATGACACCACTTGGCTTTGTGGCCCCTTATCTCAACAGCTCGAGACCCCCACTAATTTATATAAATAAATGCATTCCAACACATGATGACAAAAAATAATCACTCAGCATTCATTACGGAAACTTTCAAATTATTACAAGAGATGAGAATAAAAATTCCCAACAAGACTCAAGCGCAAAGTTCTAACCTTTTGTTTAATTAAGTATAAATATGTATAATTATGAGAACGCTATCAAACATGCCAAGGAAACCTCTATTTTTCTGCAATGAAAGATTACAAAACTAGATGATTCACAGTTATATTTCTTACTTTCAAATATTATGAAGCAAAAAAGGATAGAAAGAGATGTCTGTCTGAAAATCTACTGCTGGATATTGCATCCACTTTTAAATTATCTGGCTCCTGAAATAACATTTGATATTAAAAAAAAATCATTTTGTTCTACTGTTGTCTTGATAAAGGGCAATTCCCATATTTCTTTTTAAACTAAAGTAACTAACATGCTTTCCCATTTCATAAGCTGAAAAATGCTATTGCCTGCTCAGAGACAGACAGGCAGAATTCAATAGAATCTGGCCATAGTAATTTAGATGCAATTCCTGTCTTCCTTTTCTCACCTGAACAACTGTACTGTACCTAATAAAATAGGTCTTATATTTGAATGCACATGATGAATTAGAATCCTAGTTCTCATCATCTATTCAATCTCTTCACTCTAAAGAAACTTCATTGTAATTTTAGCTGCATTATCAGGCAGTTTAACTACAGATTTGCCAGTTTGAATTTTCCGTGTCTGAAAATAATATCATTCCCTCAATCGGAAAGCATTTCAAACATTGTATGCCAAGTTCCCTACCCTAAAGACATGAAGCATCCTTCTGAGTCTGAAGTGTAAGGAACTTCAGCCCCTTTTCTTTTTAGGTTCTTAAAAATCTTGGTCATATTTGCATCTTTCCTTGGGATATTTTCAAGGGTTTTTTTCTCCTCATTTTTGTAAAAAGAAAGTAGAAACAGAGGTGTGTTCTGAGGAATACTGCCCAGAGGCTTAACAAAAAATGTGTCATTAGAATCACAGGTCATTGGGACAAAAGGAAACACCAAGACAGTACTCATAGGATGAGTATTTTGTAGGCTGAGACTCTTGCTTTTGCTTAGAGCAGCTGAGAAAGTCTCGCTACACAGAAAATTATGAACAGATTTGTATGAGTTTTGTTGTGAAAAGAGACTTTACAACGGAGAAATGTGCAGTGAACCATAGATTCTTTTTATTTCTATTTTGTCCCGACAAGTCTGCACAGCATTCTATAAGTAATCTTTTCTTAGTCTTAGGCTCCCTTATGTTACAAGTATACAGAATTAGGAAGAACAATGTTTCTAGCCATTTCCTCAGACAAATGAAAGCAAAAAGAAATCCTTAAATGCAATGTTCTTCAACACTGGAAAGACCACACAAAAATGGCTATCTGTCCTTTAGACTATGGAAAGGTTGAAAGACCTTTTATGTAATACATTCAAAACTCTCAAGAAAGGTATCTTTCACTGTATGAGAAAGTCACTACAGCTCCTTTCCTTTTTCTTTTTCTTTTGAAGTTATTATTAAACAAATATGACACAGATCTTCCCTATGATCAAGGAACTGTTAAACCAATAGGCCTATTAACCTTGCTCTAAAAAAATAATGTTGTGGGGAAAAAAAATGTTTTCTCAACTTTTACCAGAAAAGTCATATTAATAGGTATGGCTGTTGTGGCAATAGTAAGGATAACTTTGGCAGGTTCCAAGTTGAGCAAATTTATTGACTTTGCTAAGATGAGAATGAATAAAACTCTGTAGAATCTGATCCTATCTCTTCCCAGGAATACCATCAGTACAGCTTTGACAAACACAGACAACTTTGATTGGTACATGAACTCACTTTCTGCGAGGAACTAGCATAGTTATAGCTTCAAAACATAATAAAAGAACTAACTCACAAGTGGAAAAATCAAGCTAAAATTTAAACTAATGACTTTAGAAGGTCTCAATGACTGACGTATTTGTTTGCTATTCTTTTTTGTGGGCCCTTAGTTACTCATTTTTACTAAAAAGTAATTAACTAAGAACAATAGAATGGTTTTTAGCCCACTAAGTTATTTTCAGGGGAATACATTAGTTATAATTAGATCTAATGAAATCTCTAAGAGCGCTGGGTTTAATTGCAGAAATTATTCTATTGCCTGTGACTCATATTTACTACAGTATCAGAATGCATTCAAAGCATCCTTTCTATGCGAGCAATCAATTTAAAATCAAGATCTAAAAGAAAGTGCAATGTTTACTTTCTCTTACCATCCATTGCTCTCATATAGTATTAAAACACGTGTAACAAAAAAAATAAAACAAAATAAAAAAGACAAGAATGATAGTAATATTAATTATTGGAGAAAATAAAAGAGGATAATAGGTTCGAGAAAGTATGATTTAAATTGGACTCCCACAGAGACTGGAAAATTAAGTCAACAGATCTTTTTGTAACACTTCTAAGGGGTTTAGTACCAACATTATATGCAAGAAATGTGGAAATAAATCAAAGGCTTTGCTTGCAATAAGAAAAAAGAAATCAGAAGACAGACAGCATTTTATACCAAGTGAACATCACCCAAAAGCTGAAAGAACAAGGCAAGGAAATGATGGCCAAGCATTTAGCATTCACTGGTGAACCACAAGAACAGGTGATTCAGAATAGATGTTTACCTTGAACACTATGAAGGACCTTTTTTCCACTGACTAGAGGAAAAGCCCAGACAGACTAGGCTTAAAAAGATTGAGAGGGACAATAAAATAAATAAAGGATTGTTCTTCTGTAGCTTCAAGACTAAGAAATATGTTAGTTATAGGAGAGGAGTTAGAAGTCAGTAGAACCAAGAAATTTAATTCTGGGTTTTTTGACATACTGTGAAAGCAATTTCTGTACCACAGTTTTGTAGGTTCTCTGTAGAATCACCACTGTCTTCTTACTAGAGTCTGTCTTGTAAGAATTATTTTAGAATTTACTCAGCAGCCAACACTTGCTTAAGAAAGGTAGCAGGAGGAAATTTGTTTTACATTTTT